GAAAAGAAACGGGGAAGGAGGAAGGGATGGTATCCAAGTTCTTGGGTCTCCTAGATTGAATGCAGGTGGAGGAGGTGGCTTGAAAAGAAACGGGGTTGGAGGAAAAGGGAAGGGCAAAGATGGTGGATTGCTTGGGTAAGGAAAAGGCCAAGATGGCAAAGGAGGGAGGGGAGGTAAGGAAGGGAAGGGAAATGAAGGAAAAGGCCAGGGGAAACCAAATGGAGAGAAGAAAGGTAGAAAACACTTTGAAGTTTCAAAAGAATTTGGCAACTTCTCCTTGTGGTTCCCACACAAGGTAACATTTCTCTTGGATGGCTTGTAGCTGAGTGCATTTAAGCTGTAGATGCAGAGATTCTCCTGTTTTGCTTTCACTGAAATCTGATTTGTTGAGGTCTTCAAAGCTGGAACATTGCAGGCTGAAGGTGAACTTCCTATCAAACTTGCGTGACATATTGACTCAATAGCCAAACCTTCCACACAATCAACCCCATCAACATGCGGTATTTCCATCTTATACACTCCATACTTGTCAGTGGTTCTGTTTACTGAAACCAAAATCTGCTCTGAAGTTTTAGGTGAATTTGCTCTGAACTTGCATTGTATGTTCACATCAACCCCTTATCATGAAAACAACAGGCAATTTAGACACAAAATTAACAAAAAAAAAAAAAAAAAAAAATCAGCCTTCCAATTGTTTGTTGAATTGCCTGAACTAACTTCCTACCTGGCAAGAAATAACTGTGTCTGGAGAAAGTGTTGCTTGAACAGATATCACAGAAAACAACACCAACTACTGTGATTCTAGAAATGGGGTTTGCTGGTTGAGCAATAGCGGATAGCAGATGGGTAAATGTGGATGCAAGAAGCAGAGGAAGTAGAATGATTAGATCCATGGAAGGAAGCTAGGAAACAGGGGAGAAGTGGAAAGAAGCTTCTAGTAGTACATCTGTGGTTAATGACTAAGGACTTATATGTAAAGAAGAAAGAAGCAATTTTCCATGGTTTGAGTCCAAAATGCAGCCCGTGAGTAGTAGGGATACTGTAATACTTTACCAATTCACTACAAACAAAGACATGTGAAGAGGTGATTTTGGCGGATTGTGAAGGAAAAGACTGAAAGGAGAGAGAGAGAGAGTTTGAAAGTGTGATGCAGATTGACAAGTATTGGGGATTGAAAGGGTTGAAGAGGACATTGTTGCAGTTGGGAATTGGAAATGTTTTTATTTTGTTTTTGTGCATGAAAATTGAAAAGGTCCTGCTTTGCTTATAGACTCATTATGTTATTTTTATTTTTATTTATTTTTTATTTTGGATAGAATGTGAATTTTATTTATCTATTTTTATTTCTTTATTTTTGGGTGGAGAGATTAAAACATATTTATAAAATATGTGACCGCAAGATGGCACTCATGAGGCAATCATGCCCCTCAATTCCCATGGCCTATGTTCAAGTTGGTCTCATCTCTATTTTTTTTAGGTTAAATGCCCACTTTAAGTCTCTAAATTTTAAATTTTGAACAATTTTAGCCCTTACATTATTTTTTGTATTTTTTATTCAATTATAAAAAATGGATATTTTTGAAAATTTTTCTGTCAATTTTGTCTATTAAGTTTATACAGTTGGCATTATTTTTGTGCCAAAACTTTTGTTGTATGCATTTTTCTAGTCCCTAAACTAATATTTGTTGTATATTTTTAATTCATAAACTTTTGTTTTATGCATATACAGATCATTAAATTCTTTTTTGAAAAAGGCAGTTAGACAAACTTTATCAAAAAAAACTTACAGAAGGAATAAAAAGTGTATTTATCTTAATTGAGGAACGAACAAATATACAAAATAATTTTGGTACTAAAATTTATTTAAAATTAAAAGTTTAAGAATTAAATTTTACATTTAACCTTTTCTTAAACAAATAATAATCATTTTTTTTTT